AAAAAATATGTATTAAAGGAAAATATAATGTGTGTTTTGTAAATATTAAGGTGGTTCCGTATCGAACTTAATGATTTCCAAAGCACACGAATTTTTACACAATTTCTTATAGCCTTTTATAATCGATGGCGAAAAAGCAATAGTCAGGCGATAAAGTGTAAAGCCCGGCAATAGGAACTATAGCCCGGCTGCATAATTTTTTATCGCTTCGCATAGCCCGGCCGTATGATTTTCTCCGTATTCTACAGCCAGCTATATGATTTTCTGTAGCCTTCTTTAGCCGGCTATAAGAATTCCTATGGTATTTTGAAACGCAGCTCTTATCGCCAATTTTTACCGGGGTTAAAGGCGTTAGACCCAGTCAAGTTCTCTGTTAAAAATTAAAAATGAGATAAAACTAGACCGAGTATACCATAAAGGAACCAACCCACATTTTCGAAAAAATAGAGTGAAGAATATTTTCAAGTTTCACTAATTGCTTATTCGATAACGTGTCGTAATTGTAATTATAGGAGTGAATTCTCCTGCCAAAAACTCAAAATCGGAAAAAAAATTTGTCTCTGAAAAGAGGGGTTAAACATTATTTTACACATATGTGCGTTGATTCCTTTCTAATAAACTTGGTCCAACTAGGCAACTTGAAATGCAATTGGGCGTTCAACCCGTCCAATTTTGCTACGCCTGAATACTTTGCTAACAAATGGATAGTAAACTTTTCTGAACATTTCAAAGAGAATAGTTCTCTAATTTAACAGGAAACTAATAATTCACCGGGGAAAATATGGCAACGTTCAAATGTTCATACGGCATTTTTCCGGAGCCCGGCAGTAAACTTTGCGGAAGGAACATTTTTAGCGACAAGAGATCATCGCTCCGGCGCTAGGCGTGGTGGGGGTGAATGAGGGGGGAGGTAACGCTGCTCAAAACGGATGAGAGATGACGTGAGGAGGAGCTGTTCGATTTGTACGATCTTATCCAAATATTATTAACAACTCATAAATCTAATAATAGTTGCGCAGGCAGCTGCCGAACTTCCACCGTATTGCAGATGCTGCGCGAGACGGAGAGACGCTTGGGCTGTTCCTGGAAACCACCTTACTGATAAAAAACCGCGTCTCTCCGTTGAGTTTAAAATGAGAATTAGGTGGTTATTCACTGGAAAAAAACACATTGGATCTTAGAGTCCAGACTCTTGAAAACATTGACGAGAAAAAATACTCTTGATTCAATCGGATTTTTGCTTGAATCAAAACGAAATCCGCTTAAATTAAGAGGCTTGGTTCTTGATTTAAGCTAGATTCTGATTGAATCAAGAGTACTTTTTCTTGTCGATGTTTTTAAGAGTTTGGAATCTAGATCCAATGTGTTTTTGTTTCCAGTGTTGCTACAAGAGGCAGTGTATGAACTTCGACCCGGGTAGAAATCAAATTTTATGGTGACTTTTTTCCTCGTGAAATTGCAATACTTTGACTTCATTTAGTCGATAAATACGGGTTTTAAGCGATCGATAAGATAAGAGGGAAATGTATATCAAAGAGGTTGGCAACTTGCAATGCAAAGTGAAATTGCAACTTATTTCAATTTTATTGTGATAAATTACGATAAACGGAGCCCCTTCAATTGGTAGATGGGCAACATACACAACACTCCGATGCAGTAGCGATAATTTTACTGTTTGATTGCAATTCCTTGAAATCCGTGGTACTTGGGAATTCAAGGGGCGCATTTTTGAATATCTTACCAAGGGTTGCCAGAGAGCTTGGAAAATTAAATTCCCTGACATTTACTTGATTTCCCTGACATATTTTGGTGAAACTCCCTGACAATTGAACAAAAGCCAGATTGTTGAAAGACATACAGTAAAAGCTCGCTAAGTCGTACTACGGTTAAAACGAAATGCTGATTAAGTCCAATTTTTTTTCGGTCCCTGGACACATCTATAAATTAAGTGGAAAATCGATTAAGTCAAGTTTTTTTTTCGATTCCTGCACAATTCAACTTAGCGAGCTTTCAGTGTAGTAAGAAAAAGTTTTCAGGCACAATTTGTTGTTCAAAACGTCAAACCCACTCGAGAAAGCAAATAAAGATGACTTGGCGATTTTTCGCTGACATTTACGCCATTTTCCCTGACATTCCCAGGTTTTTTCTGACTATTTAAAATCCCCTGAGATTTTCAGACGTTATAGATAACATTGCGAATAAAATTGTCTGAAAAAATTAAGGAAAAATATCAACAATGGTGATGTTGCATGTGCGAGGAATTTGCGATTTGACCATTGATTCTTATGTAAAAGTTCGCGAGAAACACGATGGTGCCACTGGTTTTCTCTGACATCAACTCCCAAGCTCAAAAAAAGCTCTCAAGTTGAGGCAAAAATGGAAGGGATATCCCACCCTATCCTGAGAGTTCACCTCTACATCAAAACAAACTCTCCATGCAAAGATAGAGTGCAAATACATTGACAGGGCTGCCACTTTATTTGGGGACTCTAAAACTGAAAACACGGCAACCCTGCTAATGTATTTGCTCCCTATCTTTGCATGGAGAGTTTGTCTTGATGTAGACGTGGACTCTCAGGGTACGGTGGGATATCCCCTCCATTTTGGCCTCAACTTGAGAGCTTTTTTTGAGCTTGGGAGTTGATTTCAGAGAAAACCAGTAGCACCATCGTGTTTCTCGTGAATTTTTACGTAAGAATCAACAGTCAAATCGCAAATTCCTCACACATGCAACATCTCCATTGTCTGAAAAAATTGAAGAAAAATAGGTATCCAAAATTTTCCTAGTAAATTTGGTTGTTATTGAAAAAAATATGGCAACGTCTGAAGGCTGATACGACGATCTTCTTTAGCACGGCAGTAGTTAACGCACCAGATCCACATCTAAGCGAAAGCTCGCGATCGGCTAAGAGTGCATCGATACGGAGGCTCTTGTTTTCGTGCGGATGTAAGTCTTTTCTTAGACGGTGTCCGAGGGGCGGCGGCCATGCGGGAGCTGGAGAGGGATGGACAGGGAAATGGAGAAAGTCGGAAATAGTTTTTGACATTTTGGCCGCTCGCTCGAACCCCGGCCCGGGCCTGAGTTGCCACCGCCGCCGCGACACCGACACGACGATTCGCACGTTCCGCGCACCTCCAGATCACGTTCAGCCGCGCTAACAGAGGTGACAACAGTTCATGCACATACTGTCGCTGCAGGGTGTCTACTGAGGTCCACAAAAATAAAATAAGTACTTTTGAAGTACTTTTTAGGTACTTAAGGAAAAATTTAAGTACCTCGCTTTGGAGAAAAATTAAGTACTTTTTAAGTACTTTTTCGCGACGTATCGCAATTCTTCGATTTTGGCACAGCCGCGTGCTTTACTTCGGCTATTCCCGTGACCTTTTCGGCTGTTTCCGTCAAATCGAGGGAAATGCCTTGTTCCGCTCCTCTACAACAACCGCGTTCTCACAGGCTGACATAGTACTAATACGCCTGACGGCCAACGCACAGAGGGTTGCATAATTATAAGGCGATCGAACTGAACGCGCAGCGAAAAATGCGAAAAATTACGGACCCTCCGCGAGATTTACGTACTTTTAAGGTACTTACGGACCGACCTTCAAAAATGCGTACTTCTTTCCGGACTTTCCGGACTTTACGGACTGGTGGACACCCTGTCGCTGAAACATGCACTGAATCAAGACGATGGACTCGACGGACTGATCTAGGCCGAGCTTACGAATAGGTACCAATTTTAAGGCAATTCTATGTGATCTAGGGACGAAATCCGCCACCACACTGCGCTGCCTCACGGTCAATGAGTCATAAATAGTGATTCTCTACTGCAAAATATATGTTAGTCCAAATGTCATAATAACGACATGGTAAATGATGGATCAAACGAGCTAAAAACTAAAAAATAAAATAATGATTCAGTGTATTCAACTACCTACACGAATTGGATTGCATTTTGCAAAAAGGAACCACGAGTATTCACATGTCGCTAAGATTGTGCAACTTGTTCCGCCTTGCAAATATAAACTGATCATCTGAATAAGTTTTATACATACTTCCTGTAAACTATAAATTCAATACGAAAATTACCATAGTAGATTTAACTTTTTGCAAGGTTTCAGCAATTTTATTGCAAGGAATGTATGTTGCACAATCTTAGCAACAATGGAATGCTCTTGGTTCCTTTTTGCAAAATGCAATCCAATTATTATACTGAATTATTATTTTATTTTTTGGCTTTTAGCTCGTTTGATACACCAGTTACACGTCTTTAATTGCTTAAGCTACCAAATTTGGCAGTAAAATGTCATAATTAGCTCTACCATTTTCGATGGAAACGTCTTCGTAAGAAAGCTCTAGAAAGTCAAGCTTTGGAAGTGCCGCGCGGTGAGGCAAAGGCAAGTGGGAGTCGCCGGCGTGAAAATGTAACGCGTCGGTTTAATTATACGATCAACACTGTCAGTGCCATTTATTTACGGCGAGCAAGACACAAATAGCGTGTAACCCGCCTCGCAGACGATGTGCATCGGTTTGCGGCTCCTATTATATCTGTGTTTATCCGATATAATTATTCCATTCGCGGTGCCCACCGGGTATTTTTGATTCCGAATTCTTCCCACCGGCGTTTCGGGAATGCATCGCCTATGACTCATCCAGATCCCCTCCGATGAGTTTGTGCATTGTTCGCCGTTGAGGCGAACACAACAACTCTGCCGTGCTAAGGAAAAACGCCGTAAGAACCATCAGGCGTTGCCAAATTTCGATTTATAAAACACAAATTTCCTAGTAAACTTACGAAAATTTTTTTCCTATTTTTCAAGTAATATTTTTCGCAATTTCCCCTAAAAATCCTAAAAATTTCCAGGAAAAATATTCATAACTCTCCTAAAAATCAAACGTTTTATGTAAGGAAATTTGGCAACTCTATTGTATCAACCCTATTGTATACACTCACATAGAACACATGTATGAAAAATTCGAAATAATAGAGATGATAGTTTACCTTGTACAACATTCCTGGTAACGGAAACGGTGCCATCGGCGTTTACAGTCCCGTGGGAACTTATCACACTTCGCCTCGTCTCCATGTGCACCTCAGCTCCCGAATCTGGTAAAATATGCAAATAGATAAATTTAAAAAATTGTGAACAAATTGTATGATGGCTCAAGTCGAATAATACCTGACTTCACTGCCACGTCAATAATACATTTCCGATCACATTTCGACGATGAAACTGCAAAACCGCTTATCTCATTTGCGAGGTTTCAAAATATCCGCTCATATCTTACTTTACCGAAAGAGGACAAACCGATGCCATTGATTAAAATTTTTACTGAGTACTCCTCACAGAGAGAAGAAAAATCGAGGATGTATGGGAGAAATGAGAATGAGAATTTTTCCATTTGAAAAATTAATTATAACTGGAGGTCCGAAGCATCGCAAACCAAGATACGCAATTTCGCAGTTTCGCCATCAATGTGATCAATTTCTTTTTTTTTATTAGAAAATTAGCCATAACATCTTCAAAATGTTTCGTAAGTGTCTTTAAAAGGGTGAGAAAAATATGATTTGAAATAGTTCTCGGGCAAAATTTGTTCTTTGAAACGTCAATTCCATTCTATGAAGTAAATAAGGGTGATTTGTCATTTTACCCTTAAATTTTCGTAATTTTCCCTAAAATTTTCACCATTGTCCCTGACATTTCTAGATTTCCCCCCAATTTTTTGTAAATTCTCTTACATTTTCCGGTTTTCCCGGTATTCCCTGGACTGTGGCAACCCTGCATTACGTGTCAGGTACACCTCAGCAATATTCGTTACTTAAAAGATGAAATTGACGTCGCACATTGGATCGAGTCGATTAGAGAGATCGGACATGAAATTGTTGACTAAAGCTGCAAATTTAGATGTTTACTTCGTGATATATTAAAGTTTGAGGGGTGCTGTCTAAAGTACATTTTATGAGAAAATCAACGGGATCACTTTTACGATCTTCACGTTTCGTAATACTGCGGAGTTACGAGCTTTTAAAATTTCCAAATTCGGTCCGACCTCTCCGATTGATTCGATCCACTGTGCGTCGTGTTGCGAAAATCTCCTAAAAGGATGCTAAACTTCTACTTTGAAAGCTCACCGAAATTGTCGGGTTTCTTCATGATGGAGCGGAGTGAGACGGTTTTCTGACTGGAGGTAGCTTCCTCTGTGGAATGTTTCTGTTCGGAACCAGCATTGGCGATGCTTCGGACCAGTTCCTCTTCATCCTGGGGTTGGAGAACGAAACTGTCTCTCAGCTTCCTCGTTGGTTTCTGTCGCGGAGAGTTATCGATCGTCGTACTCTCACCTGCCAAAAACCAAAATTTCATCTTATTGTTGGCTCAAATAAAATCGATGCTACAATTCCATATTCGTCAAAATTTCCGGGATTCGGGACTTTCTTTTTCTAATTTCTACCTTTTTTCTATGATCGTTAAAAGTTCCGAGATTCTTCTTAGATTTTTCCAAAAGTTCCGGAACTTTTCAGGAATTTTAAAAGCTACGGGAAAAATTCAGGAAATTCTCAAAAGTTCCGGAATTCGGTATTTGTTCCGGGAAAAGGGAGCACTGATGAAAACCCTACCCAGACCCCAAGTAGCATTCTTCAAAGGAAAAATCGCGATGTTTTTAAATTTCAGTTTCGATTTTTTACGCTTTTTTGGCGATAGAGTTGCAAGGACCATCAACATCTAAGCGATTACCCTCAATCTGGTCGCAAATTTATCTCTGTAAAAAAGCGTTCGATAAAATCGACATTTTTCCTCCACTTATCACGAATTTTTCTTCGATAGTATTGCGATGAATTTCCGTCGATAAAATCCCGATTTTATTGCATTAGCGATGAAATCGCAATTTATCTCAATTCTTCATCCATTATCAAGCTGACGGGCTGCGTTCAATTCATGGTGCTCACTTTACATGGAATAGCTGCGTTAGCTCTGAAAAAAGCCTTCAAATCTTAGCATAGGCAACTTTCACTGCGCGAGCGGAGGTCGTGTTCACGAGCTATTAAATGCAGGAGCTTTAAGAACTCAGAGGAAAGATTTATACAACTGTAGATGTTCTAAATTTTTCAAGCTCTCTTACAAAAATTCTTGAAAAACAAGGCCACATTTGTTACCGAGATTCAATCAGAGATTTATATTAACCAGGAAATTTTGGATTTAATTATTTAAATTTATTCAAACAGTAAACTCTCAATAGGGCGTGCATTGAAACACGTGAGGATACTTCCTCACGTTGGCGAATTACAGAAGTATCCCGTCAAAATATCAAGGAAAAATGCATTAGCCTTATTGTTAAAACGTTTGAAATTTACTCTCAGAAAATAAATGGAACGTTTGAACTTAGAATTAGCTTGCCTACAGGATGTTAAATTTCCTCTAAGGTTTCATTGTTTTTGAAAGAGCCATTGTTTTTAACCAACTCTCTACTGTCTAAATTAGTGACTATATTACTCATAATTGAGTTTACAGGCAGTTTTAACTTTTAATGCATTATCTTCGTAAGCTTTCTCATAAAAAATGGATGAAAAAAAATTATGGAACGGGACACAGTTAGATTGATTCTTCTTGCATATATGTCCATTGTGCGTTCATATTACATGCATAGAATAAATTGGACGTATTTCTGTCAAACGGAACTATGTGCATTATGAGGTGAGCCTTGGTATGAATGTATTCTTATGGGTCTCAGGGCTCATGTCTTAATGCACATAGTTCCGTTTGATGGAAATACGTCCAATTAGAGCGTGACGTGGCTCAAATTTGCCGTTGGTGCCCCTAAAAACCCGTTTTCCTGAAATTGAACGAAATTTTCATTTCTCCGAGTAAGGCTGTTTTCGAGGTAAAACGTGCGATTATTCCTACACCCACCTTACTTGTACTTGTACTCCTTGGCCGGGGATACCGAGAAAATGCTGTTTATGTGGGTGACAACTTGGGCTTGCGGCGTCCCTGCGCCCTGCATAAACTACGCATAGCACTGTCGTGCTAAAGAAGAACAACGTATGAGCACTCAAATGTTGCCAAATTTCCTCTCTGAAAATTCTTATGCTTTAAGAAAATTATGAATATTTTTCCTTGAAATTTTTAGAGACTTTAGATAAAAATACGGACAAATTTCTCATAAAATACGAAAAGAAAATACCCGCGAATTTCCCCGAAAATTCGTGATTCGTTAAAGGAGATTTGGCAATGTCTGAAGGTTCATACGGTTTACCGCCTTAGCACGGCAGAGTACTGACGACTATTTTGCCGTGCTGAGGAGAAACGCCGTATGAACATTTGAGAGTTGCCAAATCTTCTTAGAAGATAAAATGCTCATTTTTAAGTAAAGTCATGACCATTTTCCCTTGATATTTTCATAAACTTTAGGTGGAATTGCGAACAAAATCTCTGAAAAATTGGAGGAATAATATATTTAAGTTTACCAGGAAATTCGTGTTTTATCAAAGGAAATTTGACAACGCCTGAAGGTTCATACGGTGTTCCTCCTTAGCACGCGGCAGTATTTGAGCCGGATGAGGAAGGCGAAGTTTACTTACGGACATGTTTTTCATGGCGTTGGACCAGATCTCTGAGTTGTGGGGAAGCCGGTTGTTCCGGCATGTCTTCGGCTGGGGCGCTTTTCTTGAGAGCTTTCAAGCCACCGAAGAGAGGTCTGCCGCCGGTGTCACGGAAGCCGGAGTCCGGTTCGGAAGTTCCGTTGAGTTCCGCGCTAACCTCATCTAAACAAAACGACAAATAAACGTAGCTATTACCGAATGCATGTTCCACCAATGTAAATGTGCACAAGTCTAATTAAACCAAAAAAGAAACCGTTGGGTATGGAACCGTTCATAAAATACGTAACGCTATCATTGGTTTTTTAGTCTTTGATGTAGCATTATAGCAACCAATTTAAAAGTACACAACACTGATAAATCCAAAGATGAAACCCTAGTATATGGAAATGTTAATAAAAGACAAGACGCTATCTTTGGTTTTTTTGTCTTTGATGTATCATTCGTAACCAATGCAAAAGTGCACGACATTGATAATAATCAAAGGAGGAAACCATGGTGTGGGGCCGTTCATAAAAAACGCAACGCTACATTTTGGATTTTTAACACCCCCTACCCCTTCTTCCGTCATGACGCTTTTGCCTCGTAGGCCCCTATCCTTAAACGCGTAAATACAAAATAGCGTAGCGCTCTCCTCGACCCCCGTCCCTCCTAGAGCGTCATGTACTTTACGGACGAATACCTATCTGCGTATGGAGATTTTGACTGGATACAAAGGTGGACTGATGGGTTATCGCTATAAAGTAAGCGATCCCCTTCATTGGAGACTCGACGTGAACAGCTTTTTAGAGCTTGAATGTTTGATACAGAGCAAACCAGAGACGCCGTCATGCTCCTCGCAAAATATTACAAGAGAAAAAGTGCTTAAATCGCGAATCCCTATGGCGTGCAAGAGCTTCATAGTGCCGCAGTTTGTACTCAGGGATGGAAAATTTCGTCGCTTCTCTGACGTAAGGGCGTATCTCGATTTTCACGTGAGTCCTGTTCCTCGTATTACTCTGTGCTTTTTGAGGCTCATAAGGAAATCGAGATCACCCTTACGTCAGGGGAGCGAGGATTTGATGGGTTTAGTTTGAAAGAAAACCAACCTGTGAGAAGCAAAGTTTTGCTGGTGTTGGATCGACGGAGAGCCTTCAGTCCGAAGAGAGGGAGTCCGTTCTCGTCGGTGGGGCCCACGCCATAGCTGGAGGTGATGGAATCGGTCCCCGTAACTTCCTCGGTTTTCGATGTGGCGAAAGACGACGATTTTTGAGACGATTGTTTTGCTGAAACAAACAGAGCGGCCTGATTATTTAAAAGTTCTTTCCACTTTGGCACACGACTAAAAATAGACGACAAATCAGATGCAGTCCTCAGAGGGTGCTACAGTCAAAACAAGGGTTGTCCATGACCTACGTAAGATTTCGAGGGTGAAACTACAGGTGTCTGACACAAAGATTAGGGAGAGAGACGTCAAACAAAGCCTCAAGTTCAGCTGAGAACGTCTGAGCTTAACAAGTTGAGATATTTTCATATTGATCCGGATTTTCTCTCGGTAAAAATGGGCCTATAGACGAAGAGGGCGCCCAATGAAAGGTTGGAGGGAGGGGATTGAAGCGGAAATGTTAAGGTGCTCAATGCCCCAAGATTTGTGGTTTGAAAGAGGGCAGTGGAGGTTAGGAGTCGTAGAACACGAGGGAAAGCTGTACAGCGATTTATATGTATGTGTAAAAATGGGCATATTAATGCTAAAAAGAACTATGTGAAAATATCTAAGATCAAAAGGAACTACACGACATGCAAATCCTACTCACATAGTTCTTTTGATTTAATACATTCTTACACCGTTCTCTTTAGCATAAATACGTCCAATACGATTCAAAGCGCAGCACGGCTACAAAACACTTCGATTTCCTTGGCCGTAGTTTGGTTAACTGGACCGAAACCTTTTCTGCTCGGGAGTTGAAGATGCCTACCTTCTTCGATTCCTCGATGTTGCGAAAAATTCCACAATTTTAAATCACCATGGCTGAGTCTTAAAATACCGCTACAAAACTAAACATAGCAATCGACCGCACGATACTCAGGCCGACAATCGTGTTCCACTAACTCCGCGACTTTTCACCAAAAAAAAAACAACAAAAAAACGGAAATTCTGAAAATTGAGCACCGCGCAATCGTGGGAGGGCGCACGCACTCGGCGATTAAACCTCGACGCGTTTAATGAGACCCGGGCGTTATTTCGCCCCTCGAGTGCCCGCACTTACACTCAGCCGCTTTTCTATTTCGAGTGAAACGCGGGAAACGGAGGCAAGGTTAATCGAACATTATTTTTGAAAATGACCGCCAGACCCGGGCTTCGGGACTCGGACCCCCCCCTCCCCTCCCCCCCCCTCCCCTCCCCCGCCCCCCACGCCCAGTGACGTCACCCGGTGCCCGGTCCGGTGGCTCGCCGCCAAAGCCTCGAGACCCAGATCCACGTTTCCTTCTGGGTGGACCCGTGGGATCCCACCCCCGCACTGGAAAAAAAACACATTGGATCTAGAGTCCAGACTCTTAAAACATCGACAAGAAAAATACTCTTAATTCAATCGGATTTTTGCTTAAATCAAGAACCAAGCCTCTTATTTGAGCGGATTTCCTTTTGATTCAAGCAAAAATCTGATTAAATCGAGAGTATTTTTTCTTGTCAATGTCTTCAAGAGTCTGGGCTCTAGATCCAATGTGTTTTGTTTTTTTTCCAGTGCGCGTGCGAGCTGAAATGAATCAGTGGTGTGGCGTGCTTTGCGATGTATCGATTGATCTGCCATTTAAACCTATGGAAAATGATCGATAAACAGGGTGTTCTCAGCGCACACTTTAGTGATCGATTCTTTGCCACAACTTTAAATGAGGAAATATCGATAATCGATCATTCACGCCTCGCCACTGAAATGAATCCGTGGACTTATGCTCCGCTGTTTGCAGCAAGAAAGCCGTAACTTCATTCCAGGTTTTGAAATGTTTTTCAGACAAATTGCTCCGTTATTACAATAAAGCCATACCGTCCATTCCGTAAAGTTCCGGGCGTAACACCCGGAGCAATCGAAGCTACGGCTCCAGCACCCGGAACTTCCGGCGTCTGAGCCCGGAACGGACGGTTTGTCTATATAGCCCGTAACTTTACTTTTCAGGGTAGTTACCATAACTGGGTATGCACTGAAAAAGAAAAAAAAACTTCGGCCGTGGGAGCCGCAATTACGGGCTATATAGACAAACCGTCCGTTCCGGGCTCAAAGGCCGAAAATTCCGGCTGCTGGAGGCGTAGCTTGGATTGTTCCGGGTTCAGAGGCCGAAGCTACGGCTCCAGCAGCCGGAATTTTCGGCCTTTGGGCCCGGAACGGACGGTATGTCTATACACATACAGCCCGTAATTGCGACTCCCACGGCCTGAGATTTTTTTTCAGGGTGTGAATATTGATTTACTTCGCAATTTGTGCGGCTAAAAATGCGGTATATCCCCGTGCCAAATCCGATCTCGCTCCCGAAAAATTCGATTTATCGACTTTTGAAAGATATATTGGACAAGCGACAGGAGGAGGGCCAAACCACAGTCTTATGGGCAGAGACAGAGTGAAATCCGAATCGGAGTTCAAGGCCGTTTGTCCAACCGCGCGCGTTCGAATGCGAATATTTGCCGTGCCTCTTGTCGTGTCAATCCCATCGGTATTCCACCGGCCGGCCGCCCCGCGCGCCGCCGCGCCGTTCAACCCAGCGACGGCACGGCTTCCATCTGGAGCCCAAGTTGTCACTCCGATTGGTTTAAGCTGGATCTTTGGTACTTCGGAGGAAGATTTGAAAGTCGATCGATCAATTGATAATATCTGGATTTTAGGTTATATCTTCGAAAATCTCCCGAGTGCCACAATCGTCACCTCCCGGCCTAAGTATCACAAGCGCCATGCGACGTTTCAAAATGTTTGCCGCCGTTTTATTTTTTCATAGAGAAATTTTTGGTTGAATCTGATTGAAAATTTGATTGAAATTGATAATATCTAGTTTTAGGTTATATCTTCAATAATCTCCCGGGTGCCACAATCGTCACATCCCGGCCAAAGTATCACAAGCGCCATGCGACGTTTCAAAATGTCCGCCGCCGTTTTATTTGTTCACAGAGAAATTTTTGGTTGAATCTGATTGAAAATTTGATTGAAATTGATAATATCTAGTTTTAGGTTATATCTTTAATAATCTCCCGAGTGCCACAATCGTCACATCCCGGCCAAAGTATCACAAGCGCCATGCGACGTTTCAAAATGTCCGCCGCCGTTTTATTTGTTCACAGAGAAATTGTTGGTTGAATCTGATCAAAAATTTCACTGAATTATATAGGCAGCACAAAGAAAATCAGTGAAATTTTCGGACGGCTTCGTTGAACAATTTTTCCGTAGAAAAATAAAATGGCAGCGGAAATTTTGAAACGTAGTACGGCGCTTGTGATACTTTGGCCGGAAGATGACGACCTCTTCGGGGTGTGAATGATAACTGTGAATTCCGTAGTCCGTCGAATATTTTTGCACAAGATTTGACTTTGAAGTAACTCCGAAAGTAGGTCCTGGCAGGGTTGCAACAGTCAGGGACTACCGAGAAATGTCAGGGAATTTTAAAAACGAACAAGTCAAAATTTTCCAAATTTTTGGTAATCAATCGATGCAATTAATCACACAGCAGTTTGATCGCGTCCTGAACATAGAACGAATCACCTCAAGCCGAAAAAGCTCATTTAGCGGAAACTTGGCACCTGTGTCTTGAACTCGGAGATGAACAATAAGCTTGAGCAAATACTTTGTATGCCCACCAATGATTTTAAGCTGACAATGAGTAGTGGTTGAAACGGCTTGGAAGTTTACAACTCAATGGTGGCTTTCATGCATGGTCCCTGATTATTGCGAAGCCGTCTCAAGCTAGATGTATTGAGCCTTTGTTACCGATATATGACGTGGGTTATTATAGAATGCAACGAGAATACAGATCCTTGGACAAAATAACCGAGAAAATCCATCCGTTCACGGAACTAGAAACTTGTTGTGGTGGGGCCAGAGGGACTCCTCATATTGGGGGATCTGAAGGGGGCACAAAACGGCACTCTACCAAGGGGGGTCCAGAAGACTCAACTGGTTCCAAAAAGGAGTTCCTCTTTTACAAAGGGGGTGCAACCCCTGGAAATTTTTTGAAAACGTGAGTTGGTCTTAAAACGGATTTCGAGTTGTTTCACCGCAAAGTCGCTTGAAATACGCATTCAAAGATGATAGATGTGTTTTGTTACGCAGTTCAATGGGAAAATCTCTCAATTTCTGGATAGAGCCATGTAGATTTTTGGGGAAGGGCACAAGGGCTGTACTTCGGTTTGAAAGAGGGTATAAAACTTTTTGGCGGGGAACAGCAGCCACCTAAAATGTTGGAATTGGAGAACGTTGATTCAATGCGGAGGAGGCAAAAAAAAAAAAAAAAAAAAACAAACAAACAAATCATTATTTAGACATTCAGTCTAGAAAATTTAAAAGTGAAGGAAACAAATATTTTTCTGGAAAATTAGTGTCTAAACAGAGCGAGCAAAAGGAACACTCGACTATTCATACGGCATTTTATCATCATCAAAGGGGAGAGTTGGAAAAGGAAGCAATCGTCGTGTCTGAAATGTACTTTTCCCATTAGGTGCGAGAAATTAAAGAGGTAGAGGGGTAGAACAAATCGATAAGACGATGCCTACTCAACATGGTTCGAAAGGGCGTCGCTCAGGAATATTGTAAACGGCGAGCTTGAGTTTCACTTAATTGGATTGATTAATGTCTCCTTAAACACGAAGAATGTCTCTACCCTACTCGTTAACTCCTTTCCTTAACGTCGAAAGAAATAGATACGCATACGTCCCTTCATAAAAAACGACCTTTAAGATACAGACTACGTCGATAAAGTAAGAAAATAATCTTCGACTCCAAGGTTCCAGTGGTGCTAAATTACGACAGGGAAAGTTCCAGGAGCATCTCTTTCCCCAAAAATTTTCCCCGTCATAAAACTGGCATAATTTCTTACATTTCAATGTATAAAAAACAATCTGTACTTATGAAAAAAGCTGTTTCACCTAAAATCCAGAGTTAATTAAAGATGTAAAAACGATCCATGCGATTTGAAAATTTTGAACATTTTTCCACTGCAGGCAAGAAGTTTTTGGGTATACGTCAAAAATGGTCTAAAAATTATTGCACACTTCTTAACTCATGTAGTTCAAATCACGTAATTTTTCGAG